ACCGACACACCGCTTGGCAAGCCATGCTGTGGCGGCGTCCCATATAAAGTGGAGGAAGATGGGCACGGATGTTAGCCCAGGGCCAGTCTTCCTCAGCGGGGAAAAAAAAAAAGAGGAAGATTTGCAGATGTTAGCACAGGGCTCATCTTCCTCACCAAAAAAAAAAAAAAAAACAATGAAGGTTAGAAGTACAAGTTCAAGTCCTAACTCTGCCATTTATTTGCTGGTGGCGGGGGCGGGGGTGGGGTTGGGAATTGCTTAACCTCTGAGCCTCAGGTTTCTCTTCCTCAGTAATATGGGGAAACACAGTAGGCCCTGCCTCACAGGGTTGTTGTGAAGGTTATTGTTGAAGTACAAATTAAAAACCCTCCAAAGCTCTGACTTCTTTTGGACCCATACAGCTGTGCCATCTTTTTCAAAAAGATAGTATTGAAGGAGTTATGTCCACTGGTCATCTCACTTCCAACTCCCACTGAGATGGATTGACCTCAAGCATACATCAATTGGCTTTGGAGAGTGGATGTAGAGAATAGTGGGGAGATTTTTTTCCCTCTAAATTGTTGAAAATATGACAAAAAACACCGAGTATTGATTGTGTGGAAATATCTTCCCCTTTGAAGGAATAAGTGTGCCTAAGCAACTTTTTCTTTTCTCATTTAGGACTGAGTTCTAAAAGGCCGGGTTGCCCAGATACCTGTTAGAATTTAGCAGTCAAAAAGCAGGTAGCAAATAATTTTAAAAAACCAATATTGTTTCAAGAAGTCTTTAGAGAAACTATTCTAAAGAATCTCTAGATTCAAGGGAAGTATTTCAACGGCATTTGAATGGAATAATATTGTCCCACTTAACTTCTTCAAATCATAGATTTTTTTATAGCTTGTAGGGCCTTAGAAATCATCTAATCAATGGTTCTCAACCTTGGCTATATGTTGAAATCATACAGAGAGCTTTAAAGTATGTTAATGATTAGGTACTACTCCAGAGAGTGATTTTGAACCACCCTGGGGTGCAGCCTGGCATAGGCATTTTTTTGTAAAGCTCCCAAAGTGATTTTAATATGTAGCCAAAGTTGAGAACCGCTGATATAATCCAACCTCTTAATTTTAAAAATTAATAAACTGAGGCACAGAGAAGCCACTGGCTCCAAGCCACTCAGTCAATTAGAAAAAACACCAGAACAAGAATTCAGGCTTCCAGATCCTCATCTCTTTTATACATTGCTTGTTAAGAGTAATTTTACCCATGTGCATTCTGTGCTAATTCCTTCTGTTCTTGCCTCTGATGATGATGATTATAACCTGCATCAAACACTGATGATGTTTTGTCCTCTTCTGTCACCTCCAGAGGAGATGAGAGATGAGGAAGTCCATACCATCCCTCCTGAGCTACGGATCCTGCTGGACCCTGGCATTCTGCCTGCCCTGGAGAACCCACCCATCCGGGGTGGGGGAGGCCGAAGTGGAGGCTTCCCCTTTCCTTTCCCTGATATCTCCAGGAGAGGGCAGAAGGAAGGGGGAGAAGATGGGATCCCCCGGCCAAAGGACCCTGTCATCCCCAGCATACGGTTGTTTCCTGGGCCCAGAGAGCCTGAGGAGGTGCAGGGGAGCATGGGTGTTGCTCTGTCCGTCAAATGTGACAATGAAAAGATGACTGTGGCTGTAGAAAAAGATTCCTTTCAGGTCAGTGCAATTTCTTAAAGGAGAGAAGAGCAGGCTACCTCCCTCCCCATCTTGCCCAGTATGTATTAGTTATTTCCCTCTAGCTCTTTCACTTTTGAACTCTGGAGACTTGATACTGTTTTCTCAGTTGGATGGGCTCACTTCCCCTTGGCTGTGATTCTTACCCAGTTCCTGTTGTTCTCAGTAAGGGGGTTCCAGATCCTTGTGTGTCAATATTTTGCTATTGAATTTCCAAGGCCAACAAACACAATCCTTGGGCTGTTGAGAGGTGGTAGACTGGGAAGAGGTAAGGGGGGAGGGGGCATGCAGGCCTCCAGCAACCTTTACTAGGAAGACCAGGCAAAATGTGTTAACTGTATGCTGCAGAACTACCTGTGGGCCCCCCTTCATGTCTTTGGTGGTTGTTATTTCAGGCCAACAGCTACTCAGGGCTGGAGCTCACCCTGCTGGATCCTACCTGCAAGGCTAAGATGAATGGCACCCACTTCATTTTGGAGTCTCCCCTGAACGGCTGTGGTACTCGGCACCGGCGGTCAGCCCCTGATGGTGTGGTTTACTATAACTCTGTGAGTGTTCGCTAGAACAAATGTTGGCTCTTTGCCAGAACCTTGCTGGGTGTTACCTTAAAATTATTCTTAACACTTCTGTGAAAATGAGGAGGCATATACCCCAGGCCTGAACGAAGGCATGTGTCAGTTCTCAACAAAGTGGGATGTACTTTGACCTTAAACTCTTTGTTTTATTTGCTTTATCGGTGAATCTTTGGGAGTTGGGAGGCCCTGTTTTCTTGGTTGGAGCATTTGTGGTCATCTCTTCCAGCCATCCTTCCATCTCCTGGTGACAAAGAGTTCACTGGCAAGGTGATTATGACTTTTCTCTCTGGCCAAGCTGCAGGAACAAATGGCCTGATTCTTAGGAGGATACATCCAAGCCCTTGGGCTATGAGTGAGCGCATCTACACAACTGAGCTAACCGGAACCGTGGTCTCTCTGGCATCATTTGAGTCTTGTCCAGAAGTGGGAGGACTTCTCCCTCCCTCATGAACAAAAGAGCCAAAAGAAAGAAAAATCCGAAAAGAGCCTTCAAGAAATTATTATTAAGTCTCTCTCCACCTGTAAGGAAGCCCCTAAATTGAAGAAAATCTGCTTTTGAAGTTACCCAAAGGGAGATTTCACAAATTCTCCCAATGATAATCCATTGCAATAGCTAACACTTTTCAGAAATCATTCTTGTCAGTTCATCTAAATCTTTTCTCTTCAATTTAAACCTGTTCTTGCAGAGACGGACACTAGGCAGTGAGTATTAAAAGAATTTGAAACATGAAATCTCAAAAGAACTTTATAATGTTAATTTTGCAGTTCAGGTTGTACTTTTGATGGTAAAAATAAGGCTCAAAAATCCCTGTGTCCAGCTTTGACACGATGTGTGTGTCTGTGCTCTTAGCCCCTACTCTGGCTTTGGCTTGGGCTGGGGGGTGCACAACTACTCCTTCATGTTCATTCCACTGCCGGTCGATAGATATGCTTGACCCATCCAGAGAAAAGACTGGCGATCAAGTGCACCAGTTAGTGTGGCTCATGTGGAGACTGACTCTGCTTTGAGTCCAAGTTTATTGTTCCTCAGACAATCTTAGAATGTTTGAATGTTTGAGCTGGAAAGAACCCTAAGATGATCTCATTCAACTTCCTCATTTCACAGGTGAGGAAATTGAACTTCGGGGAGTTAAGAGACTTGCTTAGATTTGAGGGACTAGTTAAAGGCAGAGCCAGGCCTGAATCCAGCTTCCTGACCTCTCCGCCACTAATCTTTCCTTAACACCAGGCTGGCCCAGCTGATCGCCCTTTGTTACTGGAATAAGTTTTGACCTCTATGATGAACACCCTTCTGCCATTTCCAACAGTGATTTTCTTGCAATTATCCAATTTTTCCAGATATAATTAATGTCATTTATTACTGGTATACTTGATTTTGGAATTTTAAAGTTGTGTCTAATTAACACCAATAAGAGGCTATGGTAATCTGTCTGTTAAGTGAAAAAAAGTGTCATTTGCCTCAGAAGAGAAAATCATGAGCCCTTAAAATCCCTTCCTTCTCATATATATGTATATATGTATTGATGATGATGGTGTTGATGATGATAATGGTGGTGATGATGATGGTGGTGGTGGTGATGATGATGCTGATGGTGATGGTGATGATGATGATGAAGATGATGGTGGTGGTGGTGGTGGTGATGATGATGATGGTGGTGATGATGGTGGTGGTGATGATGATGATGATGAAGATGATGATGGTGGTGGTGGTGGTGGTGGTGATGATGATGATGATGGTGATACCTAGGGTAAGCAATATCCTAGGTACTTGCTTCAATTGCATCAGTACTTGGAGGACCTGGTAAAGAATAGAGATGAGGTTTTCCTACATTGTCTTCCCATTCTACTCCCTTCAGTGAATATTTTAGCTGTTTATTCCAGTTATAATTGTTTGTAGTAATTTTCAGACTCACTATGTATTTTGGTTTTGCAGAATATTCAAAATCTAAGCATGTGAAGCAAAAAATCAAACAAAAAAAAAGCAGAACTATACTACATATGCAAAGAAATCAGGATTTAATTTATGGAGTTGTGGTTCTTGGGTGAATTTTTTCCTCTCATCCAGAACTAACCTAGGAATAATCATTTTAACCAGTGTTAAGATAGAATGTCATCGAATAAAACATGATGTACTTTCCTGCATCTATACACCATACAGAAAGATACTGGGGAAGAAATGAGGAAAAGATAGAGGAGTACAAGAGAAAAGATGAGGAGAGATGGCTAAACATTGGGTCCTTTGCTTCTAACCCTTACCAGACTTGATACAAAACTCGATGGATACTGATAACAAAAGCTCCTTCATTAGCCAACTCTTAGTATTTAGAATTTTCAGTATAAAGACAAGCACCCTGAGGAGAAGTCCCCTTCCCCCACGGTATGGACAGGCCTGTTGACAACCACATTCAACCCTATTTCAGTGTCTAGTGTTTTCCACTGTTTGAAATAATTTGTATTTTTTCGCAAGGGAAAATACATATTTTAGTTGAAGTCTTAATGTGAACATGCATTGGATTTCTCTTTATTTTTTGTCTCTTTGAAGATGAAGTCCTAAAAAAACTTGAAGTTTTATTTTTTTTAAATCACATTTTCAGTTTGCATTTGAATTATTACATGGGTGTTTATGTGAGGTAGAACCAAATGCATGTGAGTTGGTGTTTTTATAACATTGTCTGTGCTTTGTTTGCCTTTTAGATTGTGATACAGGTTCCATCCCCCGGGGATAGTAGTGGTTGGCCAGATGGTTATGAAGATTTGGAGTCAGGTGATAATGGATTTCCGGGAGATATGGATGAAGGGGATACTTCCTTCTTCAGCCGACCTGAAATTGTGGTGGTATGTGTTTATTTGCAGTAGGTAGTTTGTGGAGAATGTTGTCTTTTTGGCTGGCTTTAGTTAGGGACTAGTGGGAAAAAAAATTAGATGTGAAAGGCCAAAGCTCATAAAGCTGCAGGGCCTTCTTCCTTCATTTGACTGTGATTTATCTCTATCTGTTTGGGTTTTTTTCCAGTTTAACTGCAGCCTGCGGCAGGTGGGGAATCCCAGTAGCTTCCAGGACCCGCCCAACAGAAACATCACCTTCAACATGGAGCTGTACAACACTGACCTCTTCCTGGTGCCCTCCCAGGGGGTCTTCTCCGTGGCAGAGAATGGACACATTTATGTTGAGGTGAGATGTGAACCTTCGCCTTGGGCTTGTAGGTTAGCACTGAGTTGTTGTAGCTCTGGGGCAGGAGCTCATGCACCCTGCAGCAGACCTCTTCCTGTTCTTCCTCACGGGCATTGACCAGCTCTGGGTGAGGGCCTGACTCAGAAAACACTTCCAGGTTGATTTCTGACCAAAGCAGGAAATTTCAGGATTTGCTAAATGGAGAGAATATTTTATAGATGAATGTTTTAACAAAATTGGCAGTGTGAATTCTGCTAGTAAAGCCATGTCCTTGCTTTGTCCTTAGCATTTTTGGAACAGTAGTTCAGTAGTTGCAAATATCAGAGTATTGCAATAACCATGGAATTATCCACTAACTGTGGAATATTTCAAACCACCTCACACTTTATCTTTTAAATTGCACACACTTTAGTGAAATGCTGTGTTCTACCTTATCTCATGAAAATTGCTTTTGCTAGATCATTATCTAAATGTATCTATAAATTTATTAAAATTATTTGCTCTATATAAAATGGTAGTAATAATGCATAGCATAAGTCTGTGGAATGACTACAAAAATATTAGGTAGTGGTGGTAATAATGACATAACATTTTTTGCAGATTTATTTTGTGCCAAACTCAGCTATAAGTATTGTGGTAATTTACTCTTCAAAGCCATCGTTTGAGGTGGGACTATTAATATCCCTATTTTATGGATGAAGAAATTGAGGCACCAACTTGTCTAAGGTCACACAGTTAGTACCTAGTAGAATTCAGAGTCAGGGTTCACACACAGGCCGTCTGGCTCCAGAGCCCACACTATTATCACTGGATGCTACTATCATTTATCCTCCAAATGCCACTTGAAAGGGGAGAAAATGTGACCTCTTAGCAGCGCAAGTGTCCAAGTTCATAGATTGGATTCTAGAGAAGATAAATATCCTTATGGCCCCGGAATGTCTGCTGGCCTTACAGGGAAGTTGTTGTCTGATGAGCTGGTTTTGGTGCTAAGCTGCAGGCTGGTGTTATACTTCACTGTGGGAGGAGTGAGAAGCTTAAGGGGTCGAAAGGAGATACTTCCACATATTAAAAGTGACTTCAGTGCACATATTTCTGTTTTAGAAAGACAGCTCTCATTTGTACTGATTCTGGGACGGAGCCCACTGGCTCTGGACATTTTCCTGGATCTCTCCTCTTTTTTGGTTCCCTGTTCTGAGAGGTCTTTTCTTTCTTTGGGAATGCCTTCTTTCTCCACTGGGGAGAATATACTGTTTTCTACATGTTGTTCCTAATCATAGACCTCTTCTGATCCAAGATTGTTGTTTTCTTCTTGCTTTTGTGGCTGCACAATCCACACGTGCAGTTGGTCGGTGACTGCTTATTGTGCTGTGGATTTTAGTGGCCCTGCTTAATGGCAGTGTGTTCTTTTCCAAACGTGTGCCAACTTTGCTAATTTATGGCTTTGCTGCTTTATGCTAATCAGTGACCCATCTTCCTCCTGTATCCCTCCCACCCTGGGTGTTTTGGTTTTTCTCCCCCATCCCCCGAGTGCTAGCTCACGTGAAATACCTTTTTTCATTCTTGTTTTCCCATTTATATCTTTTCATATATTATCTATATTTTTCATAATTAAATTTAGTCAAAGACATTGTCAAGTGATGAAAAGGAAGAGGACCAAATCTCTTTGCTACCATTTTATTTTATTTTATTTATTTATTTATTTTTTTGTGAGGAAGATCAGCCCTGAGCTAACATCCATGCCAATCCTCCCCTTTTTTCTTGAGGAAGATTGGCCCTGAGCTAACATCCGTGCCCCTCTAACTCTACTTTATATGGGACGCCGCCACAGCATGGCTTAACAAGTGGTGCATTGGTGCGCGCCCAGGATCCGAACGTGCAAACCCCAGGCCACTGAAGTGGAGCGTGCGCACTTAACTGCTTGCACCACAGGGCCAGTCCCCCTGCTATCGTTTTAAATATCAAGTACATTGAAGAGAATTTGGGGGGAGAGGAGGAGAATGTTATAAACTGCTTTATTTTAAATCACCTAAAATATGAGAGAGAACCTGTAAATATTTTGCTAAATAGGATAGCAGCCATGCCTAATCTGTGTTTCTCAGTTTGGACTCCACTACTGATAAGAAATTTTCTTACTTAGGGTAAGTAAAACTTACCTCGGTCTAAAGAACTATTTCCAGTTTCTTCTCCCAGCTGTCCTTATCACACCCCCTACCAGAATCGTCTCTTCCCTCTAGATCACAGTCCCTTCCTTTAATCCAGGACATTATCAGTTTTGCCACTCGGTCTTTTGTCATCTCTGGGTGGTAGTTGGTCACGTAACGGCAGCTTTTCTTTTAGTTCATTTGTCTTGGGGAATTAAAGAAGCTGTTTATAACCCCCCAAATTTAATCTATATAGTACTACCAAAAATAGCCGGCATTTATTGACTAGTTGGGACCTGTGTTGTTTGCATGTGATTTTGACTTTAGAAATCGTCACAGTAACTGTATCTAGTAGATATTAGTGCCCTCATTCTGTAGGGGAGGAGACAGGCTCAGAGTTCACGGTGCGTGAGCAGCAGAGCACAGGACTCCTGGGGCTCGTCTCACTCCAAAGCCTGTAGTCCTTCTACTACTCCTTTCCAGTCCATTTTAGAGTAAAAGAATTACTGGTAATACTTTTTCCTCCAAAACAACTTTTTGGGATACCTTAGACATTCTGCCATTACATACTTTCTTTGAGATTAAAGAAAAGATTTGCATTTCTTCAGGCACACATTTTTGCATGGCGGGTTCTGAGTTCATGTTAAAGGGTACTTTTGAGTAATAGGATATATGTAATTTGCCATCTTTCCAAGATAAAATATCTTATTTTGCAGAAATATTGCAAAAATAATGAAGTGTGAATATTTATGGACTACCAAACACTACTTCCCAGAAAGATTTCTTACCAAGTGCTCTCCCAGGGCCATATCTTGGGCCTCGTTGAATTGACCCTGTGGCTACAGTGAAATAGTAAAGAGAGAAATGGACAGGGTCAGAAGACTTGGGTTTAAGCCTTGGTATTACCCAGTATTTGCTAGATATGATTTTGAACAAGTCATCTGTTCTGTGTGTTCAGTTTTCCTCCATTTGTAAAATGGACGTGAAAGTATTTATCTCACAAGATTGTTCTGAAGGATTAAGCTTTAAGGCACAGCAAAGTGACATTATTATAACATCTTCATTGTTGAGTGTCTTGAAGTTACCACGTAGGGATCTTTCAAAATAGTGCTGTGGACTAAAAGCCCCTTGCGTTGTCAGGGATTTCCCCCCGGTATCTCAGAATGGAAAGTGTGTTTATAGCTCCATGATTTTTGAAAGGATTCTAGGGCTATTGGCCTGTGGTTAAGGACAAACTTTATTTCTAAAGTGTTTAAGTTTATTTTGATCCTAAGTTTAGTCATGGAATGAGGCACAGAGGGAAGAGGCAGTTCATAAAGTGATCCGTGTATCACCAAATGGAGAATCCAGTCTGGTCTGGGGATTTTAGCTGAGTTTGGGATAGTTGAGGTTTGAATTCTGTTTACACTTGGCTAAACACTACTTCTTGTTTCTAGAGAAAAGAACCTTAACAAGGTTTGGACATAGCCCATACAAATGTTTTGTAAGAGGGAAGTGTAAATGAGTTGGAAACGTTTCCAGATTAGATTTCCCTTAAAATACCCTTGGGCTTAAAGAGTGAAGGGAGAGTACTTGGCAAGGCCTGATTTGGACCTGTGAGCAGCTGGGACACTTTGCCAGGCCCGTGATCGCCACCAGATTGCACCGTCCCTGACATCCAACCCCAGAGGCCAGCTCTGCCTACTCTCTGCGAAGCAGGAGTTTAGATGAATCTGTAGCTTTACTGCAATATTTTAGGCTCACTCTGACTTGTTGCAATTTAGAAGTTCACTCCTCCCTGCCTAGGTTAAAGAGACGCTGCCTCTGCACTTTATTTTTTGAGCAATTTTTAAAAAGAGCTTGCCTAACAAGTGATCCACTATTATGACAGTAGGGGCTTTGCCTGTTGCTATTTTATTTATTTTGGAAAATTTACTTCAGGTGCATGATGTGCTTTTATTTTTATCCCTCAGAGGACTTATGGGAGGGTAAAGAGACTTATTCATCTTGTATTAGAATCTTCCAGGCTGGCATTTGAACTAAATAATTCACTCTTACCATCCATATCAAGTTTAAGTGGAAAACATCTCTTTCTTCAATGAATGTGTGTTACTTTTGTAATTAGAAGACTGTATAAATATGTTGTGGAAATTAAAGCAATGTCTCTCATCAGAAGGGCCATGTTGTATGTCGCTGTTGTGCCTAAAGTAAAAGTGAGGTGCTAACTTGTTACTGAATTGATCTTTCTGTTCTTTTGTAGGTGTCGGTTACTAAGGCTGACCAAGAACTGGGATTTGCCATCCAAACGTGCTTTATCTCCCCATATTCGAACCCCGATAGAATGTCGGATTACACCATCATTGAGAACATTTGTCCTAAAGACGAATCTGTGAAATTCTACAATCCGAAGAGAGTGCACTTTCCTATCCCACAAGCCGAGATGGACAAGAAGCGATTCAGCTTTGTTTTTAAGCCTGTCTTCAACACCTCACTGCTCTTTCTACAGTGTGAGCTCACGTTGTGTACCAAGAAGGAAAAGTACCCCCAGAAGTTACCTAAGGTTTGTGGGCCTTCATCCATTTGTACTGTTATTTTGATATTTTTAGGTGAGGTGGTGGCCTACAGAGAACTGTAATCACAAGTTATTGCAGGTTGAGGTTTTGGGTTTGGGAATTGCCCAGTTGAAGTAATAAAAGTCCGTGTTAGCAGGGAACTGTGAGTTTTATGGAGTCTTAGAGAATAAATCCTGACAGTGTGATTTTTTTTTTTTTCCGTGCGTGCTACTTAGTAGTATCTTACGAATGATAAATCAAAACTGTTTTCCATTGAGGGAGAGGCCTGGCTTTATCTTCACTATTCAGATAGCATGCAGTGCCAAAAGTACAGAGAGCCGAAGGACAAATTCAGTGTGAGGATTAATTTTTCCAGGTCCTGCCGAGACTTGTATTGCAATTGTTTTTTGACCTTCTCTGTGTGAGTTATAGGGTTGACTTGTCTCAGGAGGACTTCTAAGGGAAACTAACAGATATTTTAATTTTTCTCAGTTTCATATCAGTTCATCGTGTTTGCCTCACATTACTCCCCATATTGAACTAGTACATTCTATTGCCACAACAGAAATCAGAACCTTTTGACCTTGCTGGAATAGCTACTATAGGGGAGATCTGCAAGGTTAATTACCTCATTAGTTTGGCCTTGTACATGAAAGGTATCCTTTGCCTTAGTTTTGTTTTTGTGATCTGCCATAATTATGTATAATTTCGTATGTGCATTTATTCTGTAGATATCTCACACAACGTAAGCTGACTTCTAATCCTCTTGTAACAAGTCACATATTGGTCAATATATAAAAGTCTAATAATCGCGCTGTATGGGTAATAATATATGTATAGAATTCTCTCAATTAATACCTAGGTTGTAAGAGATAGGTGTAGAGGTAGAGGAAAAATTATTATCAGATAGATTACCGTTGACCTGAATCCTTGGCACTATTATATTCCCTTGGGCATTCATTTCTTCAATAACACCAAAGAAAATTTTATAATACATATGAAAATGTAGCAAATCTGATTATAATCATCAGGGAGCACATATATATAAGATGATTTAGACTGTGTTCTTTAGGTTGCTTTTGGAAACATTGATGCCTTAGCCTTGTGGCCATTTACCTTCCAGTGGCCATCAAGGTTGGAGCTTAGTGGACAGTGGTAGAGAGCCCTGGGGAACTTAATGCCTGGCTGTGGGACCCAGCTACTTCCTGCAGGCAGAAATAACTTTTAGGAGTTAGGGATCTAGGAGGGGAGGTCTGGCAGTTACCAGGGGTCTTTACTGATGGCTTTGGCTGTTAACTTTCACCAAGCCTGGCCTGTAGCAGCCCAGCTTCATAGTGTGTTAATTTGTGAAAATTAGTCCCAATATTTCCTTCCAGAACATTCTAAGGAGAGCGCTAAGTCCCAAAGGATGACATGGGATGTGACCCTAAACCTAAAGTTTACACCCAAGGCAAGATACAATGGGAAGAGCATGGAGACTGAGAAGGAAGGCCTGCTGCTTTCTAACAGGACTTTAAGCAAGTCCCTTGACCTCTCAGAACCTGCATGTCCTCATCTATAAAACTGAAATAATAGTACCTGGCTTCCCTCTTGGGTAGAGGAGCAAATGAGATAGTAGATATGACAGTCCACCATTTATAGAGCACAGCTTAGGATGAGCTCTTACCACGGTCTCTCTGTTCACTGCTTATGGTTAATATTTCCATATTTCTAGTAACTTCTGAGTACTTTCTAGGACAATAGAGCCAAAGAATCTTCTAGGGAGAGTTCTCAAAGATTATTAAGTCCAATTCTGCCCTTTGCTGATGAAACTGAGACCAGAGAGTTCAGTGCCTTGCCCAGGTCATGCAATAAGTTAGTCATAGAATCAGAGACTCTTACGTAGCTGAAGAACTAATAGGAAAGTAAGAAGGCTTTTCCTAAAATGCAAATCTTTTCAATAATGGTGCCTCTCCACAGAAAATCCATTCTTAGAGGACTATTGTAAAGATTTTTCTCTGGGTTTGTGTTTTGTTTTGTTTTGTTTTGTTTTGGTGAGGAAGATTGGCCCTGAGCTAACATCTGTTGCCAGTCTTCCTCTTTTGTTTTTTGCTTGAGGAAGATTGTCACTGAGCTAACATCTATGCCAATCTTCGTCTATTTTGTACGTGGGATGCCACCACAGCGTGGCTTGATGAGCAGTGTGCAAGTCCGTGCCCGGGATCTGAACCCGCGAAGCCCAGGCCACCAAAGTGGAGTGTGTGAACTTAACCATTACGCCACCGGGCCAGCCCCAGGAGTTGTCTTCTTATAATATGTGTTTGACTTACATGTTGCTCAGAGCAGCGATGACAATAAAGCCAAAAGTCTTTGCTTTTTTGTGACTAGAAGAGCTGGAAGTTAATTAACTTTTTGGGGTGCCTTGCTATAGGCTTTTAAAATGGCTAATAAATTTCTTCTTACAACAAAAGCAAATGGCTGTCATTCATTAGAGTCTCACCTAATGATGAGCTTAGACAAGGAACTAAAGTTATTTTAAAGAAAAAGGCAATAGAATGTGATTATACTTTTTAAAAACAGATACCTTGGGCTTGGGCATGCTAGTTCTCTTAAAATAGCTAGAAGCAGCTGATCTCATGGCCTCCACACCTGGGCACAACTCCCCAGGTCTCCATTTTGGAACATTAAAAGCAGATGACCCTGGAAAGCTTCATTTTGCATGAGCCTATACCGGGATTAAAAATCAAACATACTTAACATGATTATCTTTTTGGACAACTAATATAAGATCTGTCACCTTCGTAATTCAATACATGAAGTTTCCCACAATCACAAATCACAAACATGAACCATTTATGTGAAGCCAGCTTGGTGAAGAGCCAACATTTGTCTTATAGTTTCTTTATTTTTCAGACTAAATAACACTAAAACCTCCAGTTGTTTTATGGGAAGACAGAGGAAGAAAAAGACAATATTTATAAGCTGTCCAGCAATATTTGCATCTTTAAGTGCAGCTGAGAATACACTGAGCCTTCCACTGTATGTGCCAGATTATTTGTGGTTCTTTGAAAAACATCAAAATCTCCTGTTTTTCTGTGGTAAACAGCTGTGAGCTGTCTGATAAGGGACACAGGACAACTGTGTAGGCTGAGCTGGTGAAGGCCCTTTTGAATGATCCCTCAACTCTGTGCTTTGCTGTTCCTCTCTGCAGTGTGTGCCTCCCGATGAAGCCTGCACCTCACTGGATGCCTCGATGATCTGGGCCATGATGCAGAATAAGAAGACGTTCACCAAGCCCCTCGCTGTGATCCACCACCAAGTAGAAGCTAAAGGTGTGTTTTGGGAGGCTCAGTCAGAGAATAGGGACCTCAGGGCTGCTGTGAAGAAGCTCCAGTACTACTGTAAATCAAAGTCCAGTGTTATTCAAAAGACAAATCAATGGCCAATTAGTAACTTTAGAAAAGGATTCTTTGCCCGAAGAGTCTTTTATTTAGTTAATTCTCCTGCTGCCTGTGGCTGAGTGGTTAGTGATACATTTGCAAATGATCCTTAAATATTGATCCTCCTTAGATATTAGATCCGAGTCAAGATTGTCCCTGTCACAGTGTCACTCTGCCTTGCATTCAAATATGCTTCCTTGAGTGTGCAGGAAAGGGTTAGGGTTCCTCTTGGCATGCTGGAATCGCACCCAGTCCACAGCCCATCGTTCTGTGATCTACTGGTAAATCTTGTGCTGGCTCCAAGCTGTTGTAGTGCTTTGTCAAGATCACAGATACCTTTGGGGAGAGTGTTGTCTATATGAACGACCAGGCTTCTTAGGTGTCACAGCAGAAAGAAGGTTGAGAACCACTGTCTAAATGTATTTTTATAATTCAGTTTTCAGAATCTAAAACAGTTACATTTGTTGTTTGAAGCCAAGGGTGCCTCTTCCTACTCATGCAGGAACATTCAGCAAGCTGCATCTTCTAGGAGAAAAGGAAGGTTGTGTCCTAAGAGGTGTGGCATGAGTACTGAGAGGACAGGCGGGGAAAAGCTAGACCTGGCGTAGGCTGAGCCAGCCAAACCAGCAGAGAAACAGAGTTGAGCTCTTCGGGGATATTGAGAATGGATATGAGGCCCTTTGGACTGTGTGGAGAGCATCTGACAGGATCAGCATCACAGCTCCAAGGGCATGAACAAGCAAGAACACACCAGGCAGCTGTCAGCATCTGAGGGGGTGGAATCAAATGTCGCATGGGCTATCTGGGCAGTTAGAGTGTCACTGTCTAGATACAACCTGCGCCTGTCCAAAATCATTGCTGTTGAGGGGTGTCAAACTAAGAGAAGGCTGGGAGAGTGAAAGTGGATTCCAAGCCTCTGGGGTTAGATATTTCAGGACTAGAGTCCCAGGCCACCTACCACCACCCTGAGGGACAGAGAGGAGCCTGGCACCAAGGGCCTTGACAAACACCAATGAGCAGCCTGACTCCAGTTGCTGGGCATTAATTGGGAGACCTGCTGGGTGGTGCTGACACCAGATCTAGGCATGGGGCAGCCCTGGGATGGCATTTCTGATCTAAGCATTGTTGGATGTGCAAGACTAGGCACGAGGGGTGGCCCTGCAGCAGACAGGACCTAACAGAACAGAGGCCTGTGGATGCCATCCAGTTTCTTCTTTAGTTGAGTGACCTTTGTGAAAGTAGCAGAGCCATTCCTACAGTCATATCTGGGGCGGCATCTGCCCCCTTCCTAGGAACGTGCTCTCTTTGGAAAGGCAGGAGAACATAGTGGGGAGGGCACTGGGTTAGAGCCAGGAGCCGGGGGCGCAGCTCTTAGCTTTTCCTGCTAACTGGCTGTGGAACTTTGGAGACCTTGTCCTTGGTTTTCATTTTCTTTACCTGGAAAAGGAGGAGTTTGGATTAGACGACTTCCAGAGGCCTTTCAGCTGTAACACTCGGCTATACTGTTTGAAGAAGCAAAATAATTTTTCAATCATTTCCCAGCCATCTCAAGTTGGTGTGAAATGTACGTATTAGATGTTTATTGGTTCCTCAACAACGTTTTTGTTGTTGTTTGTTTTAGTTTTATTGGTTTGTTTTCAACCATTTGAAACAGTTATAACAGCCGCAGTCTTTTTATAAATGGATTGCCCAAATAGTTTCTTGTTTATTGGATCCAGGGGAAAGAAATAAGAATAAATTAATTGTGTTGCAAAGCCTATCACATTGGGCAGCAGCTGGCTCTGTTTCATACTGTGAAAGTGGTTTAACAATAGCAACAGCTGCCTCATAGTCCATCTGTTGTTACTCTTACCTATTTTGAGAGAGGTAGTTCTGCTGGTAATTGAAGGCAGCAACTTGCTTTTTCCTATGCCAGACAATAATCAGGCATTAATATTGCAGCAGTATAACTTCCAGTAATTCATTCCTTCTTCTTTTAAATCTAGTGGTATTTTTCTAAGTAATTCCTCTTGTAAATTAGGTAATTCCTTTTATTTAAATTTAGTGTAATTATCCTGAAACTTCAGTGTTTTCTTTACATAAAATTTCAAGAGGAAATTTTTACCAAATATCAAAGCAATTTCATGAGATTTGCTAATTGAGACTAGATTTTAGTGGAGAAGCATGTGGTGAAGACAGTTTATTGCTTAGGTTTGTTCAACAAATTGAGGAGGTAAGTCTGTAGGCTAGCTTCCCAGGGGCTATATGCAAATATGTTTTCTAACTCTGCATTGAATATGGTAGGTTTTCTGGCAGTTTTCAGCCTTGTGAGTGACTCCTCTTACTTTTTTTGTTTATTTTCTTTTGACTCTAAAATCATTTCTCCTCAATGCAGGCCATTGGAGTCTGTGCTTTCCCTCAGCCTCTCAGTGAATTGGAATAGTCAATTGAAAGGGGAATGTGACCATTTGCTTAATAGCATTGGTTTATTTGAATAATATCAGGGTCATGAATGCTCTTCCTGCTAGACAGCTTTGTGTGTTACTGTAGTAAGCCGCAGATACTATAGTATCTCTGGAAGTGGGCAGATCTCTTATTGGGATTAACTTTTTGGGTAAAAATTTCCCAACCAATGGGACATTTCACTGGCCTTTTAACTACACAGGCACTCTTTGGCCGTGCCAAAGTCCAGCTCTCCCTGGTCATTTGGTCCATCTTATTTCCCAACACTTGGGTTTTCTGGGGCAGCAAATTAAGGCTCTGGTTATCAACTTCACAGACAAGCAGAGAGCTGCTCTGTCGCTACCAATGCCAATAGCATGGACACATATCAAGCGGTGTTTCTGCCTTCTGTGGACAGAGAGAATAAGCCATCAAGACTAAATAAATAATTCTAGGTCCCTCCTTTGGGCAACTGTTTTTAATGGAACTTTCCTGAGCTTCCACAGCACACCTTTGCCCTCTCAGTCCTTTGGGAACCAGCGTTGGGTTAGCATTCTTTTGCTGCTTAAACTTTCAGTAATTGATGTTGGTGCTGGAGGTGGTGATGGTGATGATGATTAACATTTATTGAGCATTTTCTTAGTACAAGGCTCTGGGCTATACACTTTATGTGGATAATCGTATGTAATCCTCCTACGTCCCTATAAGGCAAGTATAGAGTGAGGTTAAGTAACTTGGTCAAGATCACACCACATCTAAATAAATGGTGGATGTGGGATTCAAATCCAGGCACTTGATTCCAGAGCCTATGCCTTATCCTAGGTGGTGGCTGATTCTAGTTTTTAATCAAAACTGCAAGCAACATAGGCAACTAGCTCTTCACACCCCTCTTCCCGCCCCCTTCCCCTGTTCATGCCATATCACATGGGTATTCAAGTTAACAGCCAAATACTCTAATGATTATGAACTGAAAAGAAGATAAAGAATTTTAGAGAAAAAGTCTGTTTGCCCAGAAGGTTAAGATATTGGTAAACGTGTAAACTGTTCAAGAGAGTATTCGAGTTTCGGAGAAGTTCTATGACTTTGAATTGTAACTCACAAAAAAGCTCAGAAAATGTGAATAGTTTACGCATATTATGGTTTATGGCAAAACAATTAAAATAGTTGAGGTGGTGCCATCCTACCATATTCTCTGAAATATTTTGAAGTATAGGCGTGTTAGTGCTGTTTGCCTTGGATGCTATGACCACTTTATACAGCATTCGAGAACACTTGTGCTTACACAATAAAAATGGTTACACCACGTCAGGGATAATGTTTTTTAAATTATGAAAGGGAAGAATAATCATTTCTCTGAAATTTAGGGCACATAAAAAAAAATGGGCATAAAAGAACAATAAATATCATCCCAAATTTGCCGTGATTTGTATACAATATGTAACTCTTAGCAAGTTAGATGTTTAAAATACTGAATTTTCTCCATATTTTCACCACATAACTTTTTAAAAATAAAAGTGTGCTCAGAACAGCACCTGGCATAGCATGGGCACTCAGTAAATGTTAATTTCCTTTCCTTCCTCTTAACATCTCAGCCAAACTAGGTTTTTTCAAGGGGAGTGGAGGGGAGTGGAAGGGAAAGTCATGAACGTCAGTTAGAAGTTAATCCAAGAGAGGCGTTACTTTTTGGAACACATTTGATTTTTCCAGAACAAAAATACTCTAAAGCATCAGCCAGGTTTTGTCCTCAGGCTGAGGTAGAGATGAGGGGAAGCTGAGTAGAAAGATGATAGAAATGCTTAATTGACAGACCAAGACATTCAGTCTCTATCTGGTAAGAGAAGGAGTATCATCAGGATTTTCTTTTTTTTCTTTCTTTTTTTCTTTTTTTGTGAGGAGGACTAGCCCTGAGCTAACATCCAATGCCAATCCTCCCCTTTTTTCTTGAGGAAGATTGGCCCTGAGCTAACATCAGTGGCCATCTTCCTCTGCTTTATATGGGACGCCGCCACAGCATGGCCTAACAAGCGGTGGGTCAGTGCGCGCCCAGGATCCGAACCGGCGAACCCCGGGCTGCCACAGCGGAGTGTGCATACCCAACCACTTGCACCACCAGGGCAGCCCCTCATCAGGATTTTCTTATTCAATGTGCTTCACATTTTAAAAACTTTTTACTTTGGAAAATTTCAAATATATATAAAAATAGAATAGTAGAGTGAACACCCATGAACCCTCCATCTGGTTTCAGCAATTACCAATTCATAGCCAATCTTGTTTTATCACTTCTTGTCCCTGGAATATTTTAAAGGAAACCCAGACATTTCATTTCAGCCATAAATATTCCAGTGTGCATCTCTAAAAGTTGAGAACCATCAAAAAATCTCGAGCAGGGAACTGATCAGATCATTTAGGAAGACCACTCCGAGAGCAGCATGAAGGTTGGGTTGCTGGGGAACATACACAATAATAAGATATACATGATATTTATGCTTATTTATTCCAAAAAATGTTTATTGAGTACCTGCTATATGCTTGGCATATAGTAAACAAATTATCCTGTCTTTAAGGTCTTTACAGTCTAGTGCAGAGTTTACAACCTTGGCACTATTGATAGTTTGTGCTAGGTAACTCTGTTTGGGGGGAGGTCCTGTGCATTGTGGGGTGTTGAGCAGCATCGCTGGCCTCTACCCACTCGATGCCCGTAAAAAACCCCTCCACCACCAGTTGTGACAACCCAAAATGTCTCTAGACATTTCCAAATGTCTCCTGGGGGGGCAAAAAGCATCCCCAAGTGAGAACCACTGGTCTAGTAGAAGAGTGCAGATAAGTGAACAGGCAATTGCAATGAACGCCATAAATACTGAAAGAAGCCAGGGAAGGAATTCATTTACAGTGAAGTAAAAACTACATCTTAAATGGTCTGCACAAGCCTGCACAAGCTTCTTCATCTCCCCATCCTTCCCTCTTTGCCAAATAATGATAACTGTGGGTACCAGTTAGACACCTTGTTTCCTTGTGGCCCCCCTCGGTCCTACTGTGTTTGGAAGAACTGAATTGAAAGCTAGAGGCCAAAAGCTGTGGTCAGTTACTTATGCATAACCCCAGAAATATGCCTTTTATGCAAACCATGCCTAACAATCTGAGGAGGGAAATTTTGATTGTAGAGGCAGACCAAAATGTGCTCAGAGTATATTAAAAGGTTTAATTCAGAATGTTGATTATACTTTTTTCTTTCTGTAAAGAAATCTTCATTGTTAAAATTTTCTTTACAGCACTAGCTAGGATTCCTTTCTTACAATCTTACCCTTAAACCAAAAGTAAATATTGTTGTGTCCACTCTTTTCCTTTCAGCATGCCAGCTCGATTATAGGGTTCCAGTGGAGATCAAACTATTTTAGTTGTACTCAGCGGTTATTGGGGATTTTGGGACAAGAACCTTAGAGGATAAAATCCTTTAACCTCAGTTCTGCAGCTTTTGCGTGTTATTGTTTATGCACAGAAATCGTGGAGGAACTTCACCCCAGGGAAATAAGCAACAACTGTTTCTGTTTAGCTCTGTGAGAAGGCCCCTATTTGGGGTGGGGGAAGAGGATTAGATCATAACATAAGTCCATTAAGAATTTTAAAACAATACCATCCATCACACAGGCCTTGCTCTAAAACGTAAATTCTCGCATGTGAGGTCTCCTTAGGGGAAAATCATTATTGAAAACCTCATGGGGATTCTGAGTGACAAAGTTGAACCACGGGCAGTTGATTGGATGGAACTCTTCCCAGAAGCGTGTATATTTCTTGCATGATGCACACCATAGAGACCTTTAAATGCCTTTGGACTTAGTTCAGCGAATCAAACCACTACTTCTTGAAAGTAGGAGAATTTTGTGGTTAGATACCCCTATTTCATAGGGTTCTTGGGAGTTTAAAATGAGAAAATGTAAGTGAAGGCTTTTTGTCAATTGTAAAACACTATAGAAATGTACAAATGGAGGGCGTCACTGTCGTTATTTTATTGTTGCCGGTAAGGCTGATGGGACCAAACTCACAGGAATCAGTCTCTTGTATGCAATTTGTAGTTGGTGTGTGTTCTGCATACTGAACTCGATTTTCTTAAAAACACACAATTATTTTAATTTTCTTAGTAACTTTATTTACATATAACTTTTGCATATATCCTCATCCCAGCACCACCATGTTGCACAGCTTCAGGGGGCACCGTTCAGTTGTAGTGACCTTGCTTCATCTCGTAGCATTCCTTCCCCCAGGGCTGATACCTCATGCTGCAAGAATATGATCAACCTAACTGAGATGGTTAACCCTGAGAATTTACAATTCTATCCAGCTTCTTTATTTTTCTAAACATCAACTCAAATACTGCTTGTTTTGGTCAATTTTTCACAAGTTCTTTTCACTTCACTGTGGGTTCCAGCATAACGTGTGTGTTCCTTCCTTACTGAATGAAACTGGAGATGAAAAGAGAGGCGCTAAAAACTTATCACTTTTAAACTCTAAGGAGCAGGGGCAGAGTCAGTGCCAGGACTCAGCCCACATTTGTTATCAAGGGCCAGACAGTGAATAGTTTCGATTTGTGGCTCATACGGTGCCTGCCTCAACTACTCAGCACTGCTGTTGCAGCGAGAAAGCAGCCATAGACAATATGTACGTGAATGAGCGTGGTTATGTTCCAATTAAACTTTATTTATGGAATAGATTTGAATTTCATATAATTTTCACGTGTCATCAAGTATTATTCTTTTGATTTGTTTTAATCACTTAAAAATATAAAATTTATCCTTAGTTCATGGGCCACATGAAAATAAGTGTTGGGCCATTATATGCTAACCCCTGGTCTGTGCTCTTCTCACTGTTGAGGATAGCGAGTAGCTATACACAAACAGCTTCTTCGTCAGTGCTCCCTGGCTGAGGACAGCACACTCACCATCATTTAGCCTACTAGGCAGAATCTGGAATTCTGGTTCAACCCCTGCCCTGATGCTTTCCAGCTGTGACCTTGGGCTGGTCACATGCTATCAGAGTCTCAGACTGCTCATTTGTAAAATAGTGATAAGAATTCTTTTTCTCTCTCCCTCACAGCGCTGGTTTGAACCTCAGATGAGATCATGGCTGTGTACCACTTTCTGAACACGAAAGCGTTATAGAAATGTCAAAGCATACAAGCATTTTCGTATGGTCTTATTCCAAGTTTCCTCTACTGCCTCCATTTTCAAAAAGTACATCAACATTCTAATCATCCTTCAGTAAACATTTCTGACAGGGCTATTCTATGCCAAGCTGAGCGCTGAGGATATACAGATGAGTAAGAACTAGATCCTGCCCTCAGGGCAGAAAAAAATTAGAGAACAATGTGATATGGCACATGTGTAACAGAAGAGGGATGGAATGAGCAAAGGTGGGAGAGACCAGCCCTGCTGGTGTGGAGATGGGGTGGTGGGAGAGTCAGAGAAGGCCTCCCAGTGAAAATGCCAGCAAAGCAGGTCTAGGGGAGGAGGGTACTTTAAGGGATGGCTTGCAAAGCGTGATGACGTGGAGCAGCGTGGAGAATTTGAGGAGCTGAAATAACTATGAGGAGCCAGCATGGGTGAAGGAGTCCAGCATGGGTGAAGGGTGATTAGGAAAGGCTGCTGGAGAGGTGGGAGAGGAGGGAGGCAGAACTTTGTGTGCCATGCTAAAGAGTTTGGATTTTTTTTCCCTATGAATGAAGGGGAGTTATGGAACGGTGTAATCAGGGCAATAACATAATCAGCTCTGGGATCTGGAAAATTCACTCTGGGGGCACATATGGAGGACGAAATCTTTGGGGCAGGGGCAATAGTGGAGACGGGAGACCAGTGAGGAAAGCTCTGTAATAATGCCGAAAAGTGGTGAATAGGAGCTGAGCTATGGGATGATAGCATTAAGGAGAGAAGAATAAAGATACTTTTACAAAACTTGTGTACATTAAATCAAAAGAATTTTTTGAAAGTGGGATAGTATTATGAATACACTGGAGAAACATGGTATTAAAGGTATTGAATCCTTTTTAAATAAATATAAAGATGTACACATACACACACACACACACACACACACACACAAATGAATTGCCAGACTCAAATTCCTAAAGTTTTAGATATTTGTCTTCAAGTTTGCTTCAAATTGGAGAGCCTGTACAATTGATTGTTAACAAAGTACAATGCTTAAAATTTCTGAGTAATCCATCCATGTTATAGCTTTGATATCTAAAGAGGATAAATGCCAGAGCTTTCACAAAGTAAGTATTTATTAACAAGTAGAAGAGTGTCAGTCTCTGCTGAGATTTGGATGACCCTTTGCCTAAAACTTGATTTCTCTGTGGAATGCATTGTGATTTATGTTTTTGTTTCAGAAACAGGTCCAAGCATTAAGGAATCAAGTCCAGTTTCTCCACGTAAGTCTTTATGCAACTATTTCGAAATAAAGCCTCCTGGGCTTTTATAAGGATGAGTTGGTTATGGAACATTTGCCAAACTTTGAGTTTTGATAAGGAGACTTCTGCTCTCATTCTCCCTCCCCCCTTTTTCTTGTAACGTTCTTTTTCCTTTCCTCTGTCCTTCCTTCATTTTCCTTTCTTTTTTCTCTCTACCTTTGCCATTTTTAAATATGAATTTGTTGACCCATTGGCCGTTATGGCCTTAATGGGAAGGTGGTAACTTTCTTCATTTTAGAGAGAAAAGTTCATTATTTGCATATTTGGATCGGTTGTGATCTGAAAGCATTAACATACAGCTATGGGAGTGGTTTGCTTTACGGGTCATCAACAGTACCTGCTCAGAGAAGTAGTGCTAAAGGAACTCGTTGCTGTATCTTCAAGACAATCTCTAGTTCCAAGACTGGGGTGGGGAGCAGGGGCTTGTAAGAAAAAAACAGATACCAACTACTACAAAATGATGCATTGGAAATTGTCTGGGCCAATTTCATCGCTTTGTTATACGGAAGAAAACCCTGACCAAGAAATGTCTAAGTGACTTGTGCGTGGTTATAATTGGCATTGAGGCAGAACCTGGGCTTTCTGGCTGTGCACCCAGAGCTCTTCTAGATGATGTTGCCTTGTAAGGAAAACCCAAGTCTCCATGGCTGACTCTGTCACTGCACAGAATAGTTAGTCTGGAGAGTTCTGTTATAAAGGACTCTCCTTTATACACTATTCTATTAAGTGTATTATTTTAACAATATTGTGAAACAGTATCAGGAACCCAAAAAGAGACACATATGGACACGTTCTCTCATACTTACCTAGTAGTGTGATTTTCATAAATGACATCTCCATCTTTAGAATTTTAGAATATTTTCACTAAAAACTTTTAATCATGTCTTGCTTTTGCATCCGTAGGCATAAAAAGGCAAGTCATCTTTTAATATCTGTCCTATGGACGAGATTAAATTAAATTAGGTTGATGACTTGGTTTGTCTTAACCTCCAGGGAGTTCTTCCCAGTTCTTACTCCTTCTGGAGGATCACCAGCCCTTTTACAAACTCCTTTTGTTTACCCCCTGCCTTCGGCAGGTGAAGTAGCGCTATCCCCATTTTTCAGAAGTTAAACACACACACCAAAGGGCACATGGCTAGAAGAGTAGGGACCAGAACTTGGAAATTTGGATCCTTCCAGAATCCTCTCCACCATGACATACTTTTCCTGAGCCCTTTCGAGTGCTGGGGCTGCTCAAGAGTCACATTTGTCTACAACTGGATGTTTTACACTGAAGTGAGTTGAAAGGCAAAGAGATTTAATTTATATGGAGATCAGCTGGAGTCATTTCTGACTGGAGAGGAACATAGAGTATTGAAATAATAAAGAGATCCTATACCTTCAATTTACATTAAAAAAACAGAGACCTTAGAAATTTTATTCTCCCGAAAACCCCTCTCCCTTAGAAACTGATTTTAACTTTTTGTAAGTGATTCAAAGAAGGTAGTTCTCCTAAATGAAAGGAAATGTTCTATTTCTGTGGCCTGGAATTAATTTCAAATATAAAAATCTCTGCCAAATGGAGGAACAATTGGTTCTATTTATATGTTTTGCTGACCATAAAACGACATCACTCCCCACTGAGAAGTATTTCCGTTCCCCTCATAGAAAGATCACGGTTGGAAAAGTGTTAAAAGGTAGGTTGTTTTAAGTGACACAATATGTAATTGTTAAGATTGAGGGTTTACTATGCGGAGATCAGTGAAATATTATAATCCACGGGAGTAGTTTATCCTTATTCTGTTTTCTCCTTCTCACCCCCTTTCTTCCTGCTATCTTTCATACTTTTACATGTTCATGAAAATATGTTTGTAGAGTATTTGAAGTGTGTTTTCTGTGTAGCATCTCATTGTTGGAAGTGTTCAATGGATAAGAAGCAAGGAGTAAGATTTTGATAATGGAAGTTCACCTTATTTTCCAAAACATCTTAACCTCTGAATTTTCAAGCCACTATACCGTTCAAGTAGGAGGTCCTTGGATTGAGACAGTGAACCACAGACTTAAGGTTTTACAGAATTTACAAATCTGAGTTTTTAGTAAGTTTGTTGCTCAAAATAAATTGCAAACTGAGGATATCTTAGAAATCTGATGATTTTATTTTTCTTTTCAGAAATAATTTTCATGTTAAAAATATAGTGTATTTTGTAGGAATTCTCATTTCATCTTCAGATTCTATTACTCAGGGCTCAGCCTTTCTGACAGTGCTTGTGAAACAAAGATAAAATTGCAACATATGATGCACACTAACGTAAAGTATGTGTTCGCTTCTCTTCCTTATAGCAATTTTCCATGGTCTGGACACCCTCACCGTGATGGGCATTGCATTTGCAGCATTCGTGATTGGAGCTCTCCTGACGGGTGCCTTGTGGTACATCTATTCTCACACAGGTTAGTGTGACGACTATTAGCTGGTGTACATCCTGTGTGCCTGCCACGCAATAGATACTCGGTGTTTCCTTGCATGGATGAATGGATGAAATAATGAATGAAAGAGAGAAAGTTCATTCTCATTATTTTCACATTTACATATTTGGCATAAATTGGGTTTTATGCAAACATAATTTGCTTTAAGCAGCTATAGAAAAGGAATGTTTAAACTATTTGTTTTAATTGCAGTTGAGATGTTGGTGAAGTTTAGCTTCTAATAAAGCTATTTTGTGGTTAGGATTTAATTAAAGAAAGTTAATATAGACAAACTGGAAATAGAAACCATTCCCCCAAAGCTAAAGACATCAGAATAGACATATAAATGCGCAGGAATTGAAAAAGGAAGCCAAGATTTTATTACCACATCTGCCAAGGTGCTGAGCACTGTCTACCAGAGTCCCTAATCAATGGCTTAAAACAGAATTTCTCAAACTTTTTTAAACCCATACCATGTCCTCTTTGATAAACGTAAAATTCTCTTGTCTTTCTATAAAGTTATTTAAATTTTCAAAATATATTTTCATGAATTGTAAATAAATAAAAATGGTGAAACAAAGCACTTTGTTTTCAAGTTACGCTCCTCCGCCCCCAAGAATTTTGATGTGCCTTTCCTCCTGCCCCTTACCTCCAGTCCCAAGGTTGAAACATTCTGGTCTGAACTGAGAACCTGTTCTGACCCTAATACAGAATGCAGGCCAGGCAAGGGGAGTGTATAGTGCAGTGGGGAAGGAACAAATGGACTGCCCTTCTGTTGCTTCTCTCTCTCTTTTTTGTTTTTTTTTTTTTTTTTTTTTTTTTTTTTTTGGTGAGGAAGATTGGCCCCGAGCTACCATCTATGCCAATCTTGCTCTATTTTGTATGTGGGACGCCACCACAGCATGGCTTATTGAGCAGTGTGTAGGTCCTCCTCCAGGATCCGAACCCATAAACCCCGGGCAGCCAAAGCAGAGTGCTCGAACTTAACCACCACACCACTGTGCCAGTCCCTATTGCTTCTTTCTTGGGTTCCTTGCAAATATCGGAAGGAAAGACATGCATTTTGAGGCACGTCTAGTGAGCTAGTTGTGTTGTTTCTTCTTAGATACTTGTAGTTTACACTGTGAACCTAGGTAAACTGTGTTGGGTTGATCAGTCAGACACCGGTGGCAGGCCCAAGCTTTCTGTTTAGAATTTTCTTAATTCTCCATTGACCGCATGAATGTGATGATCTTTGGCCCTACCCTGGGCCTTCCAAGCTGAAAGGATGACTACTTTCAAGGGAAGAGAAGCACTTTGAGAAGTCATATCTTAATCCTCATCAGAATCTTCACTTCAAATACTGCATCCTCCGACTGAGTTCTTTTAGATTATGGCAAGAGAGGAGTGAACCCTTTGGTGCTCAGCACAGGAAAGTCACACAATCCAAAGCAAGAGTTTAGGGGAGTTTAATAGTGGGGCTTCGAGTCCTCAAATTATTGTCCTAATCAGCAACCTTTGGGTGAAGTATATTTCGTGTGAGAGAGAGAAAATAAGATTCTTAAGTGCAATAATTCTGAGGATATACAAACATCTGTAAATCAGTTTAGGAATATTCTTCCTCATGAACAGTTTATACAAGCACCAGAAGGGACAGCCTTTAGCGGAGTAGCATCTTAGAGTAAATAATTTTGTCACAGGAATACTGACATGTTCAGATCTCAAACTCACAGTTCTTTGCCACTTTTCCCAATCTCCTGCATGGCTGTGAGGTTCTAGGGCTGTTGGCAGCAGTATTAGGAATGAACTTGAAAGTACTCCAAGAAGACTCTGTAGCACTGAGGATTTTCTATGGGCTAGTAACCCACAGACGCTTAACGTGTGCCTGCTGACCTGTGACTGGCCTTGGTCCTAGAGCTACACCCTCAAACCCTGAAAGCTGGTCTCAGGCCAGGTAGGGCCAGGAAGCCAGGTAAGGCAGAATAAGGCACTGACTATTGCACATCGCGCTGAACTCCCTCTGATAATTCCAGACTCCTGTCCACAGCCATGCTCACAAACCTGATAAAAAGTCAAGCCTGGTTTTATGGCATATAATGCTGTTCATTAAATTCTGAGATTTGTTGTTACTGCTCCCTTTTCCCCCAAACCAGAGACTTAAGGTGGAGTTTTTAAGTTTTGTTAACACAGAAATAGGTTTGTAAGTAGATTAAAGAAAAAGAAAACCAAAAACCCTTCCTGTGGTGGTTTCCAGCAAAATAAATTATGCTGATTTGGAAGTTAAAAGGTTTATAGACACTGTCATTTGGGCTCTAAACCTGTTAGCATCACATATGATGCAGCTTCAGAATGACTTTTTATTAAAAGCTGTAGCCATTTTAAAGACTGCTCATTAGGAACACCAGGGTCACACAAGTGTGAAAAAGGCTCACTTCAGGCCCCAATGGGAATTTCCTGTCTAGAACCCCTCAGCTTCGTACCTGGGTCAGCTAGCAGCAAGTTTAGATAAAAAGAGAGGAACATAATGTAGAGGCCAATGGGGCGAGGTGTGTATACAAACACTGACTCAGCCCATTCAATGTCCACAATAAGCTAAGCTGTGGAACTCAGACCTTATATGGTATATTTGGGGTTCAGGCAGCATCTGCCTCTATGTGAAAAAGAATCCTTAATTTGGATGACTTCCCTTTGATTATGCTTTCTATTCTTTCTACAGCACAGAGAACAAAACCAAGTCACATGTTTGAATTGTGGATATCTCCTTACATACCTGGAATGTGCGTTAGTCTAAAAAAGCTGGATTCCCACTTTATCATATGACAGCTTTGGGTACAGTAAGAGATACTTCCTTAGGGCTATATTAACTCTGTTTGGAAAACTCTGTTCCTAAAACATACATTCCCCACTAAGATGGCACAGAGAGGAGGGCCAGTCAGGGTGGAAATGGTGCTGGAATGGAACCATAGAATCTTCATGCTCCTGGGAGCCTAGCTAGTTCAGGGGTCCCTAACTTCTAGTCCATGAAGTTCCCAAAAGTCATATGCAAAATTTTATCTGTTATATATATATATTTTAGTAATTTTATTTATTTATTTTTCCCCCAAAGCCCCAGTAGATAGTTGTATGTCATAGCTCCACATCCTTCTAGTTGCTGTATGTGGGACGCAGCCTCAGCACGGCCGGACAAGCAGTGCGTCAGTGTGCGCCTGGGATCCGAACCTGGGCCGCCAGTAGCGGAGCGCGCACACTTAACCGCTAAGCCACGGGGCCGGCCCATCTCTGTTATATTTTTTGAGGAAAGGGGCAAAAGCATTTTTATATTTTAGTAAAACTTTTTAGCTTTATCACAGTAGTACATGCAGATAGTTTAAAGGCTGAAATAGTCCCACAAGACTTGTTATGGGGGCCGGCCTGGTGGTGCAGCGGTTAAGTGCAGGCGCTCTGCTTCGGCGGCCTGGGGTTCGCAGGTTCGGATCCTGGGCAGGCACTGACACACTGCTTGTCAAGCCATGCTGTGGCGGCATCCCATATAAAGTAGAGGAAGATGGGTGCAGATGTTAGCCCAGGGCCAGTCTTCCTCAGCAAAAAAAGAGGAGGATTGTCATCAGATGTTAGCTCAGGGCCAGTCTTCCTCACGAAAAAAAAAAAAAAGACTTGTTATGAAAACCTTGAGCTCCTTGCTGCCCCACCCACTCCCTTTTCTTGCTGCTCCGGGCACTATTTTTGACTCTTAGCTGATTCTCTTGGACATTAATCCATATCTCTAAATAACATGAGTATATTGCTACTTCTCGACTTATCAGTTTTAGGCTTTTTCTGTCAACCTCTTATTATGCACAATGAAAATTTAGTTCTCTTTCACTCCTTGTGCCCTAATTATACGTTCAAGCCCTTCTTATCCCTCTATCCCCACCATCCTCCTAATAGAATTATACTAAAATTTTGGTTAGATCAGTATTTACTGTTTACATTATTATGACTACCTAAATGCGAATCACAATTTAGCCGTGCAGTATAATATTATTGCTTTTCATCACCTTTCTGAGGATTTCCTGCACTTTTGAGTTGCGGATGTCTGTGTCATGTATCCCGTGTCTTCCTCCTTCTTGGTTTAAAGGGTAGCTAAGAGATAAATGTTTTTCACACCTTGCATGTCTGAAAATATCCTTGTTGTATACAAACACTTGGTAGATAGTTTGGCAAGGTATAGAATTTTAGATTACAAATAATTTTCCTCCAGAATTTTGAAAACACTCCTCATTGACTTTTAGCTCTAAAGATTGCTTTTGGGAAATTCAAAGCCATTCAGATTCCTGACCTGTTTTTTCTTTCTGGAAGAAATTATATGATGGTTGTCCTTGATTTAGGTGTATTTTCACACGTTAGAGTGGGTATTCATTGAGCCCCATCAGTCTAGAAACTCATGTCCTTCAATATTAAGATTTTTTTGCAGTTATGTATTTTTTCTCACTCCTATTTTCTCTATTCTCACATTCTAGAAATCATTTTATTTGAAAGTAGAACCTCTTGAATAGTCATCTACTTTTCCTTTCTTTTCTGTTTTCCATCTTTTTCCTTTCTTTGTTTCTTTTCTAGGAGACTTCTTCATCTTTATCTTTCAGTTTTTATTGAGTTTTTATTTTGCCTTTAAATTTTTAAATTCCAAGAAATTTTTCCTATGAATTAAAAAAAAAATTCTATTTTTGCCTCATGGGTACAATGTCTTCTCTCTCTGAGAATATTCACATAGGATTATTTAAGAATGGGGAAGTTCTGAGCTTGTGGGTGGGACATATTGAATGTGAACTTCCCTTAGGGTATTCTGGCTGGACCTTTTATTGAGGCACTCCTGATATCACATCTTTGGATCTTTCCTCTTGAGCTCACCAGGTTTTTCTATAAAACAGATTTTCCTGTTTCCTTCCTGGAGGGTGTAGGTCTGGCTGCCAACGTTCTGGGGGTCACAAGATTCAACAGGTAGACATTCATTTAATCCTCCTCTTTCA